TCCCCCTTGCGCGGAGTGAGGCTTCTCCACCCCGCACAACATGATCTACTCGACCACCATTATGGTTACCGCCAAAAAAAAAACCGGAGGTAAAAAAAAAAAACGGTAACCTGGTTGCCGAGTTCACGAAGTGAATTGGCTTGTTTTACAACGTCGTTGCCAAGCGACGAAAACCCAACCCCGATGGCAAACGCCGGGGGGGAGTCTTGGAGAGGACGACGGGAAAATAACAAACACCGCGCAGAAGGAAGATAATAACGCAATTGCACGAAAACGCTTGAACTATTTTCTATCGCAATCGGCACAGCTGTTTTTCTTGCTGTGAGGCATGTACCACGGCGGTGCTTAAGAACATCACGCCCGCGGTCACAGGAACTTGCCGGGGGGGCTATGAACATATTCTCGTAGGGATTAGGATGGATCCCCGAGGTCAAAACAATATCCTCCACATCAGAAATTCAAGACACTCGCCCGCCCACTTGGCCCGAAAATCAAGTGCTCGTCCAGTGGTGTTCCAGAGCCGCGCGACGAGTCCTCACCTCGGGGTAGAGACACCTGAGCTCAGCCGGCAGCGAACCTATTCCAGATATCTGCCGTCGCAGCCCTCTCGCGTGAGCCCCATGGGCAACGTTCCGAATCTTGCTCCAGCCAACACCATCCAAGGATGATCCAATCGGATCGACCGGTTGTGCAGCAGCAGCGTGTCGACAAAGAGGGACGCAATGAACCAACATGGTTCAGTTCGAACGCGTCTTGTTTGCCCACCAAGGTGGACGAGAAGCAAAGGGAACGGCAATAACAGCACCAGGGCAAGGCCGCCACGCTTGCACGTTTGCGAAACTGTTCGGTAGAGCACAAGCGCACCATTTTCTTGTCCAAGGGGTTAGAAAACCATCGTTCCCGTCCGCAGAAAGAAGCGCCACTGCGAAAAACGAATGACACTCCCCCTCATAGTCATTGTACTATCGCGCCCTGCGTTTGAGCCCAGGGCAATGTACTGCGCAAGCCCTTAGTGCATCTGTCGCTCCGGAGCGGCCTTGTCAACACAAGGCGCGATTGTCACTCCTGGAGAGGTACCAATTCAGAACGAGTGTTCTTTTCGCGTGCGAGCGCAGCTGAGCTGCATGCAGAAAGAAAGGCGCTGGTCCAGGGTGAAACTGCTTCGTATCTTGTGGCATTGATGTGCCAATTCTGTGACAACTTCTGCGCAACCTTGGCAGCAATATATTTTCGGCAATAGAAACTACCAGAGTGCAACGCTTTTCCTTTATCAGGACATCAGGATGCATGCGTACCCCCCCCTGCCCATTTTCACCTGATCATGGTAACCCAGCTCGTCCAGAGCCCGCGCCAAAGCTTTCTCGGAGTCCCGATCCTTGGAGCTTCGGAAGGAGCAGGCAAAAGGAGCTCAGTGCGGAGAGGGTCATATACGCGGTCAATGCACATGGTCACTACTTTTTCCAAAGCCCCTTACACTACTGTGGACGCCTCGACAAATACTCCTTTCGGTAGTGTTCCCTTCGCCCCAAATAGCTGAGGTTCATACACAGCCAAAATGCAGGTTGCGTTCCAAGCCTTCGTTTGCTTGGATCATGGTCAGGAAGTAGACATTTGACGACTTGATAGGATAGGGCGGAAACGACGTCAGGGTATAGAGCCGAAGAACTCTTGCATCGTTCCCGGAGAAGCACCGTTGTAAGGGTTCGGTTTAGTTGCTATGGACCGCGTGCTGCACACCAGAAAACTTGAATATAAGGCAGCGACATATAGGTTGGGGGGGCTGGTTTTTTTACCTCGTCAAGGTGCCCGTGACCTTGTCCACCATTCTTGTCTCCCTACATACGTGATCAGGACACGTGCAGCAGTGCGTGTTTGTGCAGCCCAGTGCGCATCAGTGCTGTCTCACCAAAAGAAGACGGATCACCTCTTAGCCAACTAGAGTACTAGGAGAAACGTCCATTGGTGCCCGCGGCGCTACAACCGTGATCGCCACGGTATCCTACTCCAGAAACGTCCCGCTTGCCCCATCTCGCCCGTCGGAATCAATTCCGGGCGCCAAGCTATTCGAGGACACAACGGCTATCGATCAAGAGCCCGGGGGGTTTACGTTGTCTCAGAAATCACATAGCCAGGACAAGCACCATCGTCTTTCCAGCCGCGAGAAGATTGCGGCTTCATACAACTTGTCAACGGGGGGGTGTACTCATAGTCGTGCATGCCGTGGTCATTAGACCATTGACCTCGCATCCCTACAAAGCCGAGACGGAGCACGCCGGGTTCTCAGCGGACCAGGCTCTCTAAAGGCTATCGATCAAGAGCCCGGGGAGTTCACGTTGTCTCAGAAATCACATAGCCAGGACAAGCATCATCGTCTTTCCAGCCGCGAGAAGATTGCGGCTTCATACAACTTGCCAACGGGGGGGGGAGGGGGGGGGGGGGG